GGGGGGGCGTGTGCACAGCGCGCACGGGCGACGAGTGTTTGAGCACGCGGCGCTCGGGACGGCGCCTGCGCGGGCGACGCGGCGGGACGTTCAAACACCCCCCCTCCCCTCCACCCCTCCGCTCGCGCGCATTAATGACACATTCCAAGCCCATCACGAGCCAAGGCGCTCCGAGCGCCCTCGACGCGCCTTTCGCAGGGGGGCGAGCGCCGGCGGCCGTTGGGGCGTTTGGGAAACGCGCGTTATTCGAAGCGGCGTTTTCTTGTTTGGTGCAGGACACCATGCGGTTGTAGGAGCGGTGAAAGCCATTTGCTCGAAGCTCGTTTCAACAGTTGAGTCATTTTATTTAAACGTAATCTTGAGGTTTTACTGATTTTTCGCATGACCTAATATTTATTTGAGTCTGACGTTTTCGCAATTGAAGTTCGCATGAAATACAAACTTTTCTACTATTGTTACAATCATAGATAAATAACCCATTTATGTATCGTGACAATCGATAATTATTTTCTTGATGGTAATTTAACAGTGGCTTCATTCGTTATCTCTCTTAAATTTGCAAGGAAGCGAAAATAAATCCGAAATAAATATTTTTCATATAAAATAAAATTAATCATTCTTAAGAGGGAAAATTCGTAGAGATATTGCATCACAATGTGTCGTAATTCGAACTGCACAAAATCCGCACTTATTTTCTTTTCTTAAGTTTCGTTACCCCCTACGTTTTTTTTCATTCAGTAACACAGATCAACAGTTACATGAAACTATTTGTACAAATAAATACTTCATTAATTTGTGGTAATATTATATAAAAATGTTAGTGAGTTTACTAATCAATAAAATCTTATATTTCCGATTAATTTTTTGTCGGTATAATATTTTTCTGACGAAATACATTTTATCCTCATGCCATCACAGAAACCTGTCTTACATAAACCAGGAAAATAAATCGGAAAGCGGAAAAATCTGAGAAACCGCAGCTGTATTCAACACAAACAGAAATTTCAATGCATTATTTAGCAAATGCTCAAATCTGAGCTTTATGTCCTATTAGTCAACATTTAAAGCCTTGGCGACCATTTTAATGAAGGGAATGGAACGTCATAGTATCAGTGAAAGCCCTACAATGCAAAGTTTCCATCTGATATAAAACGAATAAATAAATTAATGCGAAAACAAAATTTTTGCGTTAGATCACGCACAGATAAGTGCAAAGAAGGGTGTTAGACAGACGCAGCGCCAACAAACAAATGAACAGCGAAAACAAAATGTATACCAACGGCGCTTGGCGCCCCATACACTGTCAGTATCGCCAATCGAACGTTCACTAGACAATGCGCAAGTGCCCTAGTCCCGGCGCTCACCTCCGTGAGGTCCTTCACATCGTCCGAGTCGACGTCGTCGGGGTGCGCGGCCGCGTCCAGCAGGCCGAAGTGCTGCAGCTGCTTCCTGGGCGACAGCGCGCCGCCGCCGTCCGTGGCGTCCCCGAGCGGCGAGCGCTTGCGCTTGTGACCGGCGCTGCTGTTGTGGCCGTTGTTGCTGCTGCTGCCGTTGCTGTTGAGGTCGCTGTGCATGAAGTCGTTGACCGACAGCTGGTCCGAGTCCGGGCTGGACGGGCAGTCCTGCAGCGGGCTCATCTGCTCTTCCATGTCGCCGCGCCCGCCGCGCGGGTCGCGCGCGCCGCCCGGCCGCAAGTTATTGGCGCGGGCTACGCGCGGGCCCCGGCGACATCCCGCCCGCGCGCACTCGCGCGCACACGCACGCACGCACTCGCTGCCCGATTCACGTGGCCGCCATGCCCCGCGCACGCACCTGGCGCTAGCAGCCGCGCATGTCAACACCGATCGCTCACGAGGCACTCGCGCGGCCGGCGCACGGTGCGGGGGGGAGGGGCGACCTGGCGCACGGCGCTTCCGGCAGATCGGGCTGCTGCTGCCGCGGGCGGGGGCGGCGGGCGGCGGGGTGGCGGCGCAGAGAGCGGGCGCCACGAGCAACTCCTCCGGGCAGAGCGCGGCGCAGCACTTCTCGTGTTGACTCGCGGCCGCGGGCGGCCGCCGGCGCACCTTCTCCTCCGGCTACAGCAGCGCTCCCGGGCGGCCGGCGACTCGAAAAACCCGTCGGCAGACAAGTGCCGTACGCTGCCCCCCTCACCCCCCCCCCGGAGCCCCAGCGCGCGCCTCTCGCCGCTGCCGCAGTGGGCGGCGGGCGGGTCCCGGCGGCCAAAGCCACCTGCGCGCCTTGGCAGGGTGCACCAAGGGGGCGCTGGCGCCAGGCCGCCCGTTTCTTCCAATTTTGGAATGCTCTGCGGGTGTGCTGTGTGTAGCAAGACGAAAATCAGACATCCCAATACTGGGAACTGAACTATAACTGCCTATAAGATTCTTCTATCCTGCCAATGGCTGTTGATGGGTGACTGATATGCTACTAACATACATAGAGGGGTAGAAAAATATAATTTTAGGGCTTAACCACGAACTCATCCACGTTAATAATCTACGAATTTTATTTTCATTTAGTTCTATTCTCATTAGAGTTGATGCCACAACACTCAATTGTGAAGTAAAACGATCGTTTGGGTTTGTCTTTCACGCCAGTACATTCCCCTGAAATCAGTTCTGATTGCACCCTTCAAGTGCGCCAAACTTTTTGACGGTGGTCGAATATTTGGTGAAAAAATATGATCAAATTCCACGAGTCATCATTTACGTGGAACTCGCAACATTTTGATAAACGTTGCGAACGGGTGCTAAAGCACTGCCTCTGCGGCAAGAGCGAGACTCGAAGCAGAACGACGCCGGGGATTCCCATTGGAGAGTGGCCGCGCGAGCGCGTCGGTTAGTGGCACTGCGCGGCGCGGCTCCTGCGCGCGGAGAAAGGCGCGAACAGTGCGCCCATTGGCCAGGCGGCGGCCGCCCGCACCCGCGCCGCACGTGGCCGGCTCCCCGCCCCGCGCCCCGCGGACACCCCTCGCGCTCGGTCAGGCCTCCGCTCAGCTGTTCTGCGCAAGGGCCATTCAGCAATACATTCGATTTTTTTTATTTATTTATATATTTAGTTATTTATGAGGCAATGACCCCATCTCATTCAGGTTTCTTGTCAAGTTTTCCTAATCCTTTGAGCACACGTTCAGCTGGACCCTTGCTTTGCTTCTGCGCATACATTTATCTTCACTATGCGCACGTTTTTGTTAGCTCAAATGGGAATATAATAGTCAATCTAATTATTGTTCTCGCGGAAGAATTTCGATTCCGTCACAAAGGACACGATAAGAGATAATAGACAATAGACTTACCAATTCTTGCCCCATAAACCGTGAGCAGATTGCACTTCTCCTCATAATACGCCAAACAGTGTTTTAACTCATTTTGACGATAAATAAATAACTTGGGTTGGGGGCCCTTCAACTGCTGAGACCGAGGTTCAGATGTGATGATCTAAAAGCAGATGTAGAGGTAAAGGTGGACTGAATGACAGATCAAATTCGAAACCTTGAGAAAATCTTACGTGATGTCCCTCTGTGCACGTGAAGTTCGTCCTGAGAGGCCGGGGATCGAGCCACCACGGCCTAGAGGCGGGGAGGTGTGTAGGTCACCCGTTTCGCCACAAGGGCCCTCGAGAGAGGGATGCGAACCGCCAAACCGCACGAAGGATCGTAAACAGATAAACAAGAGAAGCAAATTTTGTCCAAGACGAAATACTAGTATTTTCTTTTCTGGGAAGTATGTGATTTAAATATATTATTGATGCAATTCACAATGTAGTATTAATTCTTCCCATCATTCTACCGTTCAAAAATACCTTCATATAATCGAAATGCACCAGTATGAAAAAGATATTTTGGAACAACCACAAATTTTACTTATGTAGTCTACATTCTTTGACCAACAGTGAATAAAGAAAACTAGATATCAGGCTTTGTTTCTTGTTTTCTTGTGAAGATATATATGTAACGGCATATCGTGTGATAATATTAAAAGTCAAGTTTGTTAATTTCAGCAAATCCCACTCCTATTTATTACTGTTAGTTGAGTAAGTAGGTAACGCGAGCCTGCAATGGAGATTTAGAGGGCGTGTGAGACATTCAATTCGCCTAGTTGGAATCTCAATCTGACCTTAATGATTCGTAATCATTTCTAATCTCCGTTACAAATGGGTGATGCAAACATAATGGTTTAACATGACTGTCCTAAACAGCGCTATTAATACAGTTCACAATGCGTGTCTGAAGAAATAAGAACAAAAGACATTTGAATATTCATCGTTACTAATCTTCTTATATTTCAACTTGCGTAAGGAAATTTAGTCAATGGTAAACAAAGTAGGCACTTGACAAACGTTTGTCCATTTAACCGGTTTATTCAGAGCTATTGTAACTGTCACCATTACTTCATCTCTCTCTGTCTGTCTGTCTTGCCTGTCTCTCTCTGTCTTTGTGTGTGCCTGTCTCTCTCTGTCTTTGTGTCTGCCTGTCTCTCTCTGTCTTGTCTGTCAGCCTGTCTCTTCTGTCTTTGCCTGCCTGCGCCCTCTCTGTCTTTGTCTGCCTGTCCCTCTCTCTCTCTCTCTCTCTCTATCTCTCTCTCTCTCTCAACCAACAAGTAATTTCTGTATAAATACAATTAATAATTAGAAGTTCAGTATTTATTAAAAACTACGCACGCAAAAGTGGGCCAGTCGATTGCGCGGAGTGAGCAGGACATGCATTTGAAACCTCTTTGAGAGAACCGCCCACTGCACTCCGCGGGGGCAATTCCCCCTCCGCCAGACGCAACTGGCCTCTGGCTGCGTGCGTTCAGGGCCGAGTGTCACCGCCACCCGCTGGAATGCCCGCAAACGCTCACAAACCCCCAACGTCCGCATATGTCCCATGCTCAATCCAAAACTATCACTACAAAACAGTCAGTCGCTAATAACTGACCAGTAAAATAAATTGATTCTGATATTTTGCCAGTCTCAGAGGTTATCCACCATCTTTTGACGTTCCTTAAACAATCGCTTCATAGCTTAAAATAGCGAACACTTTTTTCTGACAGGGATGCCTAAAATCTGCAGGCTCCAGAAAAACTAAGCTACATTTAATTCTTTCAGTGTGAGAGTGATGCTCCTTCACACGGCAAGAATGAATATAAGAAAATATGTCTGCATTGGGCGAACCTAAAAGGTAATCAAAAAACACATTAGTTTCCTCAAGAAATGGAAAATGAAGAACTATGTATTACAAGTAATTGGGGGTAAGCTTTTGACACAAAAAATTAAAGATTTATATTATAAAATTTAATTTTACGAAAGTAAATAACTTAAAATCTGAGAAAACCAAAAAGTTTTAGTATAATTAATATTTTAACACTCAAGAGTTTTTGTTTCATTTTGACAAGCAATAAACAGGTTTTCAAAAAATATTTTATTGTCCTTGTAATATTGAAACACGCTTCACGAAATATTCAATAATTCACGGTGCAAATTCCCCGTCGACAACTGGGCACGTGCGAGCGGGAGCCAGAGAGAGAGTTTCACGTGTAGCAATGCGCAGTGCTCGCCCGAGGGAATGGCTCGGAAATATAAACAGATACAGACGATGCGGTGAAACTACGGCCATTAAATGTTTGCAAGCCTTGTCTTTCCGATTCCATACAGGCTGTCAGGCATTCCTATGGCTGTCAATATATATATATAGTGTAAACGTACTTCTTGTAATATAATTTCAAGGAGAGTCTTTAAAAGCCTTTTTGATAAAATAATAGTACTTGAAAGTACACTTAGGGAGGCGTAGTGGGCAGAAATAAATGCCTAATTCGCGAGCTTTGGCGGCTATTTGTTAGGACCGCCAACTTGTGATACAGATTTTGTGGCCAATCCGCGATTTTCAAACTGACGGACATTCCAAATGCCTCCTGTCCAGTAAAATTGGTATTTCCAAATGTTTCCACTCTTCGCTTGTTAAGTTATGAGCTCAAAAATTAGTAAATTATTCGATGTACATGTAGAGAATTTGTATCTATGTAATTAGAAGAAAGTTGTAAATAATTAGTAATTATAAATTAATGAAAATAGTGCCTATTCAGTGGCCGAGATCGCTAAGGCAATAGTGCTGTAGTGATCTCGAACTAGAAGATCGCGGGTTTGAGTCCCACAGGCATTGTTGTGTTGTGTATGTCGCTGTATGATCCATTCATTTCATCATGAATTAAATCTTCCAGTTCTAATGTAAAATCCGTGTGACAATTCCAGAAATCGATCTCCTAGGTAATGAGAGAGCAATATGTAATTATGTTTCGTGGAAATTTCCAAGGGCTTAAGTTATTAGTTGTGTCTGTTACGGTAGTCGCACAATATTCGTTCGTCACAAAACAAACGAATATCAATATCTGTCAATTTTTGTTCAGCGATGAGCCAGTTATAATACTAACAAACCCGAGTAAGGAGAAAAACTCCACAATATAATTTTACTAGTAAACAAGTCATCCACAAATTACATTTTGTTTACTTGAGTTTCTCTTTATACTCAATTGTTCATAACCAATTGTTCGTGTGTGGAAGGTGGTGTACAGTGGAATTCAAATAACTTCACGAACTCTTTTAAATAAAAAAGTTATGCGGAAGTTTCGTAAGAATTCTACATTACACAAATTATGCAACGGCCAGTATTCAGTCTCGCATACTATTTCTACCTTCTTATTGAACACAATCACTTTTCCCTTCTTGATAAAAAAGTTCTATTGACTCCGCAGTCATTCGACGTGAGCCGTTAATTGGCATGTCCATCCTCTGGACGAACTGATAAGGTTCGATTAAGTTCTTAAGTGTTGAAATCCGATACGTTTCACTTCCATGCATTTCCCCTCCGTACGGCACCGATAATCAGTGCTGCAAACACTACGCAGGGAAAAGGAATGTAATTACGAAACGTGCAACTCAATGAAATAATGTGTTCTCAATGTACCGAGCTTTCACTTGTGTATACAATTCGTTTTGATTTCGTGGGTAGAAACATACCAGTATTAATAATGTTGAAGTTCGTATTTTCTTGGAAGGTAAATTAAATTATTTCTGTTCGGATTTAATATTTTTTTTGTTTAATATTGTAAACCGAAGGATGTTGAAAGTCTGAGCAAATACTTTGGAATTATTGTCAACATTTTTTATTCCTCAAAAGAATAGGATCAGTAAAAATGTAAGACTCTTATTAAAGAAATCGTGTGATTCATTCATTTCATCAACAATTAGATCTTCCTGTTCAAATGTAAAGTCCGTGTGACAATTCCAGAAAAATAAAAAAAACCTTTTGAGACATGCATTTCATATGAATATCTTCTCCGTACTATATTCATACTTTCATTCTGCTTTTTTCTTCTGGCATTCTCATTCATCGTGATCATAACTGCGCCATTTTGAAGACGAATTGAATGTATCTTTGAAAAGCAAAATAAATGGTCAAATTTTATCCTTGAGAAAAGGAATTAAAGAGCTAATCACGCAGCTATTCTGGAGGCAAAACAAAAGAAAATGGAAACTTATAACTGAATGTGTATGTGCATCGTATTTCATGAGGACGTTTTTTTTTAGCTGAACTCTTTCGAGTTCATTACGAACACAATCTGTCCCCGAAGTAACCAACTCGCATTACATAGGTGGAGTCGAAGGTTCGCGTCCGTCGGGCACGTCCTAGGCCTTCCGTCCAATGAAAGGCGCTCAAGACCATTAAACGCTCCTGTTCGGATGACATCAGTAAGAGCAAATCTTTTCAAGAAACACTCTCCACTCTCCATCCATCGTCTGCGGCCGCTTGGTGAGTCGTTGGGGAGGGCAGGCCGGCGCGCCTCGACGTTGGGCCACGTTTGCATGAAAAGTTTAGACGATCGGGTAACGGGTGTTCATGATTTTGATGGAAAGTGGTGAGCAAAGAATCAGGAGAAACGCGCATCTGCCGAACTCGGGGGTTGAGCACAGCCTTCTCAGGAGCGGGCGTGGGTGGGTCGCAGTGAGTCGGTCCTCGCCGAGCCGCGCCGTGCAGGCCGGCCGGCCGCCCGCCCGCCAGGCCCCTTCATTACAAGGATAAATCGGCCGGCGGCTGCCTCTCGCCGCCTTAGCCTTGGCTCGGCGCCGCGCGCTCGCCGCCGCGTCCGTTGCATAATGACCCTCCCGCGCCGCCCGCACCCACGCGGTGGCACGCCTCGAGGGGCAAATGTCACTCACGGCCTGCGACACCGCCAGGCGCAGCTCCACAAATGCGAATTTTCTGCTCGGGCCGTTACTTTATAAGTAGCATTTGCAATACAATTCCTGTAAAACATATTATTTCCTAGCAATGATAACTTCATAATTAATTAATTATTTATCGTGTGAACGTTTTGATTACCGCCTTCAAACAGTTCAAATCACGTTTCTATCAAAACCTTGTGCCTTATTTATTACATCCTTTGAATGTTTTAGACCAGCACTTAATTAATGGCGTGAGGAGTTCTGCGGCAAATGACCGCATCGGAAGTAAGTTCTTCCGCCAGCCGGATGAGCTGAGCACCGGGAACCCCTCATAGGATCAGACGTGCAGTTTTACAGTTGTGTGAAGAGATGCCTGTTGCTTCCTTTTCAGTCGTATCGATGACAAATAATGTTATTGAGCTGCAAGGCACTAATATGTTGTCGTCATATGGACGTCTTAATATTAATTTTTTTGGCAAATAACCTAAGTATGACTGGTCAAAGTATCTCAAATGAAATTCTTAATCTCATAAGCGAATTTCTGACAAATATCGTTCATTACAAACTAGTAAAGTAAAATCAAGCATTTACAAACAGCACACTTTTTTATTTCTTGACTCAAATATACTTTGAGATGAAAACTAATTTTGAGTATTTCCTAATAAATGGAAATCATAACAAACTTCGTTGGTTTTCAAGGGTGAAAAGCAAGCAAACTTCTTTTGTCAGAAAATATATAAAATACGAGTGTCCTTCGTGAAACGATGCAGATATTTAACACGTCATTGTTTTTACAGCGTGTTAATCGACCATGTTTTCAATGTTTCGCTAAATGGAGGTTCGTGTTTCCGTAACTCCACGTGCAGGAAAGCAGAGAGGAACTATCACGCAAATATTCAAGGAAGCTACTCAAGCGGTCATTTGCGGGAACAAATCGGCCTCAGCCGCTGCCCGCTGCGTTGCGTAGCGGTGACGCGAAGCGGGCCATCTGTAAGCGAATGTTGTGCGAAGGGTAAGCTGGGGGCCTGAGAATACCCAAAATATTTTTAAGAATGAAATCGGTACAAATAAAACATTTCACTTTTTCGAAACGTCTTTACGATACCGCTATAAAGAGGAATGTGAAATCTATAGCATGGAAGAGCAAGAGGGAATATATTGGCCGTAGGATTTTATTTTCAAGATTAATTCTGACAGTAGGGGTAAGGTATTATAAAATTATATATACTTATCTAGTTTAATTTATTTCTACTCTTACTGCCTTTCAAAGACTTAGTTTTTAATTAAGTTTTGTTGTATTTGATAAAATTCTGTAAACAATATGATTACTTTTTATAAGTAGTCACTTGGAGAAACGTGTTAAAAAGGACCCTGATGAGCAACTGTCCGAATGTGAAAACTTTGATCAACAGGAACGAATATAGCACGAAAGGTATTATCCCCGGCGTCGTATTTCTAGGAATAGAAAGAAAATAAGCGAATAAATGTATCTTGACCTTTCCAAATACCGCTCACCGAGTGCACCTAATGCAGATGATTTAAATGCAGCAGAGAAAGCGTTGCATTTCTCAAAGTGCGATCAACGCAGAAGTCCATCTCTCCTCCGTTTAGTTTCCTCGTTTGGTTTCATGGTCTCTCGCTGTGTGGCTCGCGCTCGTCACATCCTCACGTGTGGTCCATGTCACCGTAGGCCACTCAAGCCCCGCAGGGAAAAATGTAAAATGGTAGAAAATTATTATTTTCGAAATTGCTGAACTGTTTGATGAGAAGCTACTTATACGTACTGAAGTCATTGAGTTGCATGTCATTACGAAACATTGATTATGATGTCGATGGTACGAATTATAATGATAATGAATACTTAGCACCGAATGAAGGAGGGGAAGAAGGCATATGACTTGTGCCCTCTCCTTTCCGATGCTGTTCAACGCAGAAGCGGTGGACCATCGCGTTCCCGCGTTGGGATGATTCTTCAATGGTAATAGAAAAATCGACCTCGCCCATATCTCCTGGCGGTGTTCTGCCTTCGGCCCCGCTTCATTACACGCAGCTCCAAATCCCTCTGCCACAAACAAGAAAAGAAGATGCTTCACAGCATATAAGAGCGTGCCAATAGTTTGAAAGTGTGCAAGTGACTATCTTTCGCCAGGGCGTGCTGGCCATCCTCTGCAGCGGGCGCTGGGCTGCTTCCTGCGAGGGATGTCCCTGCCATCTCAATGGCGGCGGAGTCCATTTGGCGCCGGACGTGCAACTCGTTCTTGTTCTCCAGACGACCGGCAGACAGCCATTACCCCAACATCCGCCTCCCACGTCCAGCTATGCGAAGAAATGACTTTTCCGTCAAAGGCTGAGCTCGTAAGTTCCTCCATTACGTCTCACGCCTTTCAATATGTCCAAACATTTTGTTACAACTTACTCTTTCTATTCTCCAAAACGGTTATTTCAGAACACACAAAAAACGTTAAAACAACAGTGTACATTCTCTATCATTACAGTCCGTAAAAATATGTAGGATGAAACGTCAAAATATGTATATAAATATGTATGAAAACAGTGAAAAATCGTAACAATATAAAATCGGATATAATATGTTATATTGAAATAAACTAATTATAAAACTCAATTACCTAATGCGAAATTACATTGATCAAACATTTCATACACAAATTTTTAAAATATTACAAACCTTTTAAAAATCAGTTGCAGAGCCCAAGCTAATACCCACTTTGCGGCATACGACTTTCCCGTCAATAATCCATTGCTATACAGGACCGTAGTTTAGCAGCAATGTAGGACCGTAGACTAGACGCAATGGAAGCCATCGAATAAACTAGCGATATTTACCACCATCAAACAATCACTGCAACGTGAAGCGTTCTCTTCGATGTGTTAACGTCGGCGATCGCCAAAGTTTCTCGGAAATTAAAGTTAAAGATCACGAAACCCGGCGCATGTGACACTATTTACACCTCAAGGTGAAAATGATCTCAGTTCGCTGGCTCGCACTTCTCGCCACTGAGATAGAATAATATGTACTTGGAAGAAAGTTAATAAAATAAAAAATATATAATGAAAAAGGCAAAACATGTAAAATATAAAAATATTACTAAATATGTAAAAATATTAAACGAAAAAACTTGATATTGTGTTAGGACGGCGACGATTCGCGCAGATTACAGTTTTGAGAACGGTAAGTAGAACAACAAATATTATGTCATTGCATAAAAATCCGGTCTCTATCCTTCATATACTGAATATACATCTTTCTAGGAATTTAATATCTTTAATGTAAACTCATATAAAATATTACATCTCGAAGTTGTTGTGTTCTCTTAATTTTGAAAAACTGTAATCTTTTGGCACGTACCCCTCTGCAAAACTATTTTCAATACCAATTAAAAGAATTTATGATAAATATAGTATTTAAAATGAATTGTTATTATAATTATCGACATTGGTAAATCTATTGAACTCTGTAAAAGAATTTAACATGAAAAAATTGTTCAATAAAATTCAAAAATAAATTTTAAATAGTTTATTAAAGATGTACTTTCGTTTATTTTAGCCAAAAAATATTGATGAGTGAATAAAAATAGAATCCTAAAATATAATACTGTATTATATACTGTGAAAATGCAAATGAAAGATCAATTTACTATTTTGCAACTTTCGATCTTTAGTAATATGCAAGGGTTACATTCACAACATAACTTTGATAAAACAGTTCCAAAAGATACACGTCTACTAAACCAAGAGAACATCTATTAAAATTTTGATTTAATAGTTTTGAACACATTTACTGAAGAGAAACTCGGAAATGACGGATGATGGATACCTTTGCAACCTCACTTCGACAGAACACTGCTGAAATGTTGACGTCCTCTTCAGTGACTCCAACGCAGTACGGTGCGGAAGCGAGGAAGGAAATGAGAAGAAAAGCCAGCCCGACCTTGGGAATGTGCCGAGAGCACTGAATGGATTGATTAGCCCTGAAAGCGCGGCACATGAGTGCAGTTCCGCTTTTTGCCGCAAGGATGCCGCAAGGCAGTCGTGTGTGCGTAATCGGCGGGAATCGCATCGAGACCATAATAGAGCTGGTTTCCGAATAGGGAGTGCAGAGCTAAGACGTCCCCTGGTTGAACTTCATTCACTCCCATGAATATGAAAACCGCTTCTTCCAAAGCGCGTGCAGGTTCCATTCTGCTTACGAGTGCGAACAGTGGAACACACATCTCTAGGTCAAGCTGACTACGAATTTGCTTATCGAGAATGATCAGGGGGTAATAGTACGGAACGTAAGGTTAAGTTACAAGCCAACAAACACGATGTATGCAGACACTTTGTGGCTTGCAGCACCAAAAATGCTGCCGTCCAGTCTGCGGAAAGTGGGGCCTAGGAGCAGCAAAATTTGGCTTTTCTGAAACAGCTCGCTTAAATACTGGAACATCTTCGTTCTCATCGCATAAGGTCAGCTGTCGTAAGCAGTATCGCACCGAGTGTGAGAATAAAACAGTTATATCGGGTGTGAGAAATTTGCATAACGCCATGACATATTTGCACTTTCTAGTCAAAATCGAAATTGTGACGAAATGGTTTTGTATTGGGTGTATCTTATTAAACCATTGGTACATCTTACTCCACA